CACCCCCAACTAGGGATCAAGCCTGAAACCTGGGCATGTGCCCTGACCGGGAATCAAACCACAATCTCCTGGATCCTAGGTCGATGCTCAATCGCTGAGCCACGTCAGCCGGGTTATAAAGTACTTCTTGAAGAATCAGTTTTACTTCTCTTTGGAAAGCAAATACCAAGACAGACTTGGGTGATTGTTTACATAAAACAATCAAGATGACAAGCACTCATTCAGGATCCCCTTCTAGGAATAGAAGGCTCAGATAAAGGAGAGGTTTACCTTCATTACGATTTCTGGTTTAGGGAGTTGACTTTCACTGCCCTGGCAAGGAAAAAGGGCAGCTCACTCACGGTTTTATCTGGTGGAGAGGAAAATTATTTCATAAAAGCATTTTACATAATTTTCTATAAAATGGGGGAAATGTACACTTTAATCTGTAGATGGGGTATTAATCAATTTTCTAATTATTTTGTTCATGTTCCTAAATGTAGTGAAATATCAATGAGCAAATGTCTGAAATTAAGTTCTTTTATGTTGCCTGTGTTTTTAAATTTGTTTTGTCTCTAATCTGAAGTTGCCTTTCTCACTAACCCTCTATGAGAATACCTTCATTCAAACATCCCATTGGTCCCTTCCAAGTTGAGAGGAAACAAAGTTGACGCTAACCAGCCATTCATTCCTCCTTGCTGTCTTTTCCTTGCTGACACTAAACGGTCATTAGCCATTACCTCTGGAAAGTCAGTTTCTTCCCGGCCCTTCTGCACTCTCACACTCCACTCCAGTTTTTAGGCCCTTCCAGTTCTCTCTGCCCACCTCCCATTGGAATCTTCGAGAAGCTGCCGTCAGTCGTTTCCCATTGCTCTTGTAAACTACTTGCTCTCCGTATTAATTTATTTAACTGCATGAATCCAATCCCTTTTTATTTATTTATGATATCTTAAATTGTCAGTGTTTAAGAATCTAGGCATTAGCAAGTAAGTGAAGAAATTATTTCGGGGAAGATAATCTTCCTAAATCTCACTCAGGGCCCTCTCCTTCCTGAGTCACCGGATGCCTTAGAGTAGTGATAAGCGGGCTCAGGCTGGTACTGCAGGCGTAGCCTTTGGAGTCTGCATGCCCCGTGCTGAAAATGTTAAGGACCTGGAGTCTCACAAGCCTCACTGCAGCCTCACCTACCGGCCTACCTCCTGCTTACTTACCCCCTTCTCTTCTTCCAGGGCAGAGCGGATCGTCAAGTGAGGAGGCAAGGAGGATGGTGGGGGTTCCTTCCTGTTTTTAACTAAAGATGATTCTTTGGTGCATTTATTGTTTTTCTAACATTCTGGATGTGATTTCAATTAGTGGTCCCTGCCTCCTTGTTATTTTTGTACCTTTTATGAACTTTAACAAAAATATTACTGAAATGACAGGAATGAATTTTTCTTACCAGCAAAATTATTGTTTCCATAGACTTTTTGTCACATTGTGCATGAAATGGTGCAAAAACATACCCCTAGATTTCTCATCTTCTCTCTGGAAGCTGGTAAGTGTGCTGTTGCACTGAGCCTGCTCCTTCACACTGGGTGATAACTTCATCACCAAATATGTCAGTTGGATGCCATTTCTCATACTTCCGAGCAGCACTCTAATAGGACTGTAAAAACACCGTTTGGTTTTCACTGAGTCACGCACCCTGTCCCAGTGCTTTGGTCTTGCTTTTGGCGTGTTCCTACAGACGGTCGAGGTCACAGTGAAATCTAACTTGTGAACCGTGTGCAGAATCGGAACTAAAATAGACGCACTGCACAAGCATTGCTCAGGTTCTTCCATGTGTCTCAGGTGCCTTCTGCATCGCAGAGATGGTGAGAAACCGCAGTTTTTCTAGGCTGCCTCGCGACAGCACTTACAGGCGAGGTGTCTTCATGGGCAGACAAGGAAGGAAACATGTTTCAGAAAACTTCTGCTGAATGGAAGGGCCCGATGAGAAAAAAAGAAACTATAGTAATTAACCGTAATGTTATAGAATCTACCTTCCTAGAATTCTTTTTCCATTTTTTAAAATAGGACATTAAAGAACATGATATTTTTATGAAATTATCTTTGTAAATCTCTTTTGGAGTTCTCTAATTTGCCTTCTTTAGAAAAATCTTGTGGCGGTTGACGATTAGTTTACTTAGCAAATTCTTGCCTTTGATTTTAGCCAGCATTAGCAGTATCTCTGAATCACCCTATTAAGTTGTCTTTCATATTAATGCATGGATATGAGGTTGACTGTGAGAATAGAAGTGATTTGTTTAATGACCAGTCCAGCTTCTAGGAAACAAATATATGACTTTCCAGAAAGTTAGAAAATGTTTGATAATATTTGTGTTCATTTGCAGTGTATCCATGGAATCATAGATGTTAAATCTGAAAGACAGCATCCAGCCCAACCCCCTAATTTTATAGATTTGGACTCTGAGCCCAGAGAAATAGAGTGACTTCTTTAAAGTTATACAGCTAACAAAAGTCAAATGCTAGATCTTACAAATCCAAATTCAATGTTCCTTCCACCACACTACACTATTTTTATGTACTATTGGAATTAAATTTAAGCCCATAAAAAGTCCATTTATTGATTGAAATCCCAGCATCAATAATTTCTAATTTTTGTTTTTATATTATCAGTCTTAGTACTTTGAGAACTCCATATTTTTAATGTTTCCCTAATTGGAACCTTAAATATCTTGACTTCCAATTCAATACCACACTGAAAGTACTTGCACTCATTTATACTTTGTGTCCAATCAATATATAACAGTTTGGGGGGTTTTGTTTGTTTTTTGTCTACAAACCGCCCAATTTCTCTTTTAAATGATCAACTAGATGGCAAGGATACTGATGATTTTCTACTTAGTACAGCTCATGAGAAGTACACTTTGGGACCCTAAGTAAGTTTCTTAATGTGAACTGCTACATCTTTCAAGTTCCTTTTTATAATAATAAATGTGCACTCTGGGGCAGCCTCATGTCTGTTGTGTGTGGCACATACTCACTGTGGGCATTTGCTAAGTGATGGTCATTATAATAATTATTATTTCAGCCCCATTCCTTCTGTTTCCTTTTATTTAGCCCACCACCCTTCTACCAACTAGCTGAAAAGCTGATCACATGGAAAACATTTTATTTTTATAGTCTTTAAAGGACTGGTTTCAGTTAATCATATAATACAACATAATTATGGAATCTGAAAATTGGAAAGAACACTGGAAAGCAACCTCTTCTGTCTACTCTGGAAAAATATTTCAAATAAAAGTAAAGAAGTCCTCAACAAGCCTTCAACAACTAACATAGGTTGCAGCCGCTAAAATCAGTTCTTTTATACCTGGTCCAAATCCTTATTACTGCAGTGGCAGCCCATGACTTATACTTATGTCTCCTGTGGAAAGATTAATGTTGTGAGTAGTATATACAGAAAAGAATCTGTTTTCTTAAGATCTTTTAATAACTACCTATATTCTTTTGAAAACTTTTTTTTTTTTTTTTTTTTTTGCTTCTCCTGCAATTTTTAATAGAAGTAGTTATTATGAAATGAAAGGAAATGAATGATACCAGAATTCATTAAAGTCAGTCTTGGGAATAATTCGCCTTGAAGGGCGAATAGGGAAGTCAACGTTCCCAGGCAAGCCGAAAGGCAGCCGGGAGGTTTTACTTGCCACTGCTCACCAGAAGTGACTATAATTGGGAGGGGGAGGGGGAGGGGAGGAGAGGGGGTGCCTTAAAAATTTGGCTTCCAAAGAGATGCTCCTGAATTCACATAGAGGCATATCTGGTGCCTGGCCACATTCACAATCTTTATAGCATTTCTTTACCAAATAAGAATTTAAATTATACTGATTCTTCTGAGCTGGAAGCCTTGAGCCGGAAACTCCTTTGTTACTCAGGAAAATTCCTTGAGAAATAACCTTCTTGATTCTATATGCCTGATAACAGCACATTTGAAGATGGGGAACCAAAAGAAATATCCAAATCAGAAAGCTGCAAGCCATTCAGGCCAAATCTGGTTGGAGAGGAAAGCTGTTCCCACGATCAGGGAGCTTCCCCAGCTAGCCTGTAGGTGGGTGTGTTTAACAGAAGGAAGCAATGGAAACCTGCCTGTCAGCCAGCCTTTAGAGCTAATTAGCTCAGCACACAACAAAGATAAGTGAGCCTGCGAGGAGGGCCCCCTGAGGGGTCTTTAGATTCTGGGAAATGTCTGATTGGCAGATGTTAAAAGGGATTCTTTGGTAATCCTGTGCATCAATGAGCTGCACAAATTCAGTCCAGGACTGCAAGAGCTCAGGCATGAGGACCCTGTGCAGCAGGCTCTCACAGGCAGACCAAGATGGACAGAACCTTGGAATCCCTGAGACACATCATTGCCCAAGTCCTGCCTCACAGAGACCCAACTCTGGTCTTCAAAGACTGTAAGTACTGAAGGGGAAAAAGTTTTTACTTTTTTAGAAAATAGTCCTAAACATCTAGTCACATCCTATTTAAGTGTGATTTCTTCTAAATCTCTGTAGTCGTGTGCTGTGGTCTAAGCGATATTTAACTTGTTCCTGACTACAGTCAGAAAAATGATTTCATTTCATCTCACCTACGGGTCTTAGTTGCCGGGTTATTTTGTCAGTGATACATCTTGCTAACGGTTTAGAAGTCTCTACTAAAATCTAAGACTCGCCTAAGACTTGGTGAACTTTTCCAGATGCTTTTTAAAAATAAAGCAAGGCTGATTGCTACTAAGATTACAATTAAAAATAACTTGCATAGGATAATGAAATATATATTTACTAACATGTTTAATCCTTCAGGACATATCTTAGTTATGTTAAATCAAGCATTGTGTTTGTCTGAAATTTTCTGTTCCTAACAAAAGTTAATAAATCATCACCGAGCTCTTAAATTTTGATAACAAATTATAACACACTAGTTAAAAGGCCAATGAAATTAGATATCTTCTCGCCCCTGCAACACCCTTCCCCTACAACAAATCTAAACAGCTATGGCAAAAACTTGTTTCAAAATCTTTTTTTAATGATTATGAAAAATAATTCAATCAAAGCTTTCCAAATCTGGCAGTGCTATTAAACCATTTGTCATGTAACTTTGTTTCTGGAACCAATTTGATTTCCTGCTGCTGCAAAACAGACTATCTTCCCGGTGTATCTTATCTACAGTGGGTTTCATATTACAAAGAGCTTCTGAAATAGAACTTTGCTATGGAACTGCCCAAAAGGTAAAATGCATATGGATTTTTTTTTTAACTTCAATAGGTTACAGCTTTCTTCTTTGTAAATCTCGTTATGTTTGTCTCCATCAAAACTTCAATGGTTTGGATTTTTCCTTTCTGATTGCTGAATAATGTTAGTTTCCAGATGTCCTTTTAGTTTATATTTCTCATATGTGTGATGAAGGAAAAGAAATGTTAGGCCATTTTATTCTATAAGTTTTTCTTCTTAGAAACTAAATTATAATCTGCCCTCTAAGGCATAAAATAAAAACCTGCTTTCTTTCTTTCTTTTTCTTTCTTTCTTTCTTTCTTTCTTTCTTTCTTTCTTTCTTTCTTTCTTTCTTTCTTTCTTTCTTTCTTTCTTTCTTTCTTTCT